TTTTTTTCTCAAAAAGACCGTGCAGCAGCATTGCTGTTCTCTCCCTTTCCATCACACTCCCTCGCTTTCCCCTCATTCTTGCCCACCTCGCTTCATCTTCCTTGCATTACGAACCTCAGGGCGTCTCCCCTACCCTAACACGACTCCCCTGCCCCATGATTTTCCATGTCATCCACGCTTTCCTTGCAGGCGAGGGAGCAGCAGCAGAAGCTGATTGATGCGCTGGCTCTCTTCTTTGAGAGGTGAACCCCTCAAGCCCACCAGACCATGCCATGTTCACAGTCACTTGTCGTCATGTTCACAGTCACTTGTCGTCATGTTCACAGTCACTTATCGTCATGTTCACAGTCACTTGTCGTCATGTTCACAGTCACTTATCGTCATGTTCACAGTCTCTTGTCGTCATGTTCACAGTCACTTATCGTCATGTTCACAGTCACTTATCGTCATGTTCACAGTCACTTATCGTCATGTTCACAGTCACTTATCGTCATGTTCACAGTCACTTATCGTCATGTTCACAGTCACTTCACGTCATGTTCATAGTCACTTGTCGTCATGCTCCCTAGTCGCTTGAATGCGTGAGTGGCTTTTGATGCAATTCCTTTGACACATAAGCTCCAACCAATCCCACCAGAGCTTGTTATCTTGTTGCTGCCTGAGCCACTTGTGACTGTTAAATCACGTTACCACCACTCTGCCTCCCACTTTACACTCCCACAGAACCAATCAAGCAGCAGATGGAGGGGGGGGGCAGGGCGGAGGAGGGGGAGGAGGTGGGGGAGGAGGGGGAGGGGGAGGGGGGCAGGTGGTGGGGGCAATGGGGCCATGCCCCAAGTGCCGCACTTCCCACCTTGTGCTAAAACAGCGACCGGTGAGTTTTACGTTCGAGCCGACTCAAAAGCCACATGATTTTTAAGCAGCAACCGGTGAGTGAGAGGGTGTTGTGTTGACCTCGGTTGTTGTTCTCAAGCAACGACCTCCTTCCCCTTCCTATCCTCCTCCCTCCCACCCCATCTCATCGCCTGTCTTTCACGTTCTCGCGACTTTGTAGAACCGCCAGACACATGTGGTTCTGTGACTGCATGATCCGAATGCTCCTGCATCGTGGCATCCCCTTCTTTGTTGAAATCACTTTCGAGAATTCTCCCAAAAGTGATTTCTTTAGAGTTTCAAAAGTGAATGCATGGTCCGAAGGCTCCTGCATCGTGGCATCCCCTTCTTCATAACTCCCCTGTGTCCTCTTCAGATTTCCTTCCATTCCATCTCACATCTCTCTCCATCCTGAATCCTCCATCCTCCATTCTCGTGCCATGCTCCTCCCGTGCTCCCATGGGCAATCAGGGCGGCAGCTTCATGGCAGGATGCTCTGGCTTCCCCCTTGTGAGCTCCCACCCCACTCACTCCCTGCACCTCTGTTCTCTGCTCTAGGCCACGAGTCCACATGTGTGCATAGGCTGATCCCAACCACCGAAGCCCATGTCCGTGCGTGGGTTGATCTGTTGAGTAGTATCACATGAGTGACCTGGTGAATATCGCAGGAATAAATGAGTGACGTGGGGATTGATTGATTCCTTTGTGGGACAAACCAACCAACGAGCAGTTGTTTCGCTCCACCCCGAGCATTCATTACTGAATGAACTCTGTGAGGCGCTTCACTGCTCACTGTGCTGCAGTCACTTGATTGCACATCCTCCGTTGCTCATTTGCCAACCTGCCTTGACCTCCTCCTCCCGCCCCCTGAAACCCCTTGTTCCCCTGCCTATCCCCCTCACACCCACCTATACCCCCCACTCCCACTTTCACCAACCTTACTCCCCTCTCCACCTTCCCCCGCTCCCCCTCACACTGTAGAGAGGCTGTGTGGATGTTATCTGCTCTGGTCAAGGTGATGTCTGAGTCGACTCAACCCCTACCTGTCCCACACTCCCACCTCTACCTTCAATCCACCAACTTCTCTCAATCTCTCCACCCCCCCACTCCCCCTCACAGTGTAGAGAGGCGGTGTGGATGCCATCTTCTCTGGTCAACGTGCGTTTGACTCACGACTACCTTCCCCTCTTCCCCTCTTCCCCTCTCCCGCCTCCACCTCCCCTTAATTCCCCCTGGCAGTGCAGAGAGGCGGTGTGGATGCCGTCTGCTCTGGTGGAGGCAACTCTGGCTGACTCACACTGCCCCAACTGCCGCCCAGGTAGTGCTGCCAACCAACTGCCGCCCAGGTAGTGCTGCCAACCAACTGCCGCCCAGGTAGTGCTGCCAACCAACTGCTGCCTACTGCTGCCGCCAAGTGCCACCCCGTAGCAGTTCAAACATTCCTCTTCGTCATTCCACTTCGTCATCCTCTTCGTCATCCTCTTCGTCATCCTCTTCGTCATCCTCTTCGTCATCCTCTTCGTCATCCTTGTCGGAGATACAGCTCTACCCTCATCATCTGCCTTAATCCTCATGCTCTTCGTCCCTTAGCTCCTTCGGTTGCCTCAGCCACTCTCTGCCCCCTCCTGTGCCCGTGCTCGAGCGGCTTGAGCGCGGGTCACAGGACCAGTACGCTGAGGCCCGGTCCCTCTGATCTCTGCAGTGTTCGTCTGATGTTCCCTCAGCTGCGCTCCGGTGTCGTTTTCCAAGACCAGCACCCCTGAGGGGCGCACCTCCTTGACTTTCCAGCGGATGGTCCCCAACCCCACGTCAAGGGTGTCCTGCTTAGCCCTCTTCAGATAGACTTCCTGTCCTTCGCAGACATCCTTTGCTGTTCTTCCCTCCCCTTTGTGTTGCCTCTGTTCGTATCTTCTTGCGTCCCTGAGCTGCGCGGTGTGCAGATTCTCCAACGCGGCTGGCATCATGTAGCGCATGTAGCGCGCCCTCACCTCGGACAGGGCTACCCAGTTCCTGATCGTGCCCGCTGTCACTGTATCTGTCAATACTCGTGGTGCTCCCACTGGCAGAATCGGCTCTCGTCCGAACAGCAGGCTATACGGGGAGTGATCCTTCAACGCTGCCTGCTTCCCGAACCTGTACCCTGCCGCGATCCAGTCCAACTCCTCATCCCAATCCCTCTTCCTCTGCTCCCCGTAGGCCCGCAGCCCCCGCTTGAAGGTTTGCACGGCTCTCTCAGTCAGCCCATCACTCTGCGGGTGATAGCGGGAGGTCTTTCGGTGCGTGATGCCAGACTCCGCCAGCAGCTTCTTGAACTCCCCCTGGAACTCTGTTCCCTGGTCTGTGAGTACCTCCCCGCATGCTCCAAATCGGCACACTACTTGCGCTTTGAAGGCTGCTGCAATGTGCCTCGCGCTCTTGCTAGGGATCGCTCGCACCTCCAGCCACTTGCTCACATGTTCCACCATGAACACGATGTACTGATTCCCGCTCCGACTCAGTGGCAGCTCTCCCGCGAGGTCCAGGGACCAACGGAACCCTAGTCCGCAGATTGGCAGTGAGTGCAGCTCTGCTTTGGCCTGCGTCAGGTTTGCTTTGCTCCTCTGACACGCCTCGCACCCCTCCACCCACTCTTTTACTTGCCTGCGCATCCCTTCCCACCACCAGCCCGTCTTCAGCAGGTGTACGGTCCTCTCGTGCCCGAAGTGCCCCAGCTTAGTGTGCACTTCCTTGATCACTGCTTCACGGTCCTCGGGCGCTGGCACCAGCTTCCACCCATCCTCCGTCTTGATCTGCAGCTGCTGCTGATACCACCTGTAGTGGTGCCCTCATGCCCTTACTCTCTCAGGCACCGTTTCATCCTCCTCGGTTTCTCCCTTCACCCATTGCATTGCCTTTGCATCCAACCAGATGTCGGTTGGCCCCTTACTCCCCTTCGCCCCCGTCTGCTCCACCTCTCTTGCCAGTAAGATCAAGGTCCGTGCCGGCTCTTGCTCTGTCTCTTCCGTCCCCAGGGTGGCCTGTTTCGTTTCCAGCGGCGGTGGATTGCGGGAGAGGCCGTCAACGTGCTGCAGCGTCTTCCCCGGCCTGTGCCTGATCTTGAAATCATACTCCTGCAGCTTCACTGCCCACCGCGCGTTCCTGCCTGTCAGCCATGGTGTAGTCATCAGCCAGGTGAGTGGCTGATGGTCAGTGACTAGGGTGAATTCTCGGCCCTGCAGGTATATCCGGAAATGCCCGACCGCCCACACTGCCGCCAGCCCTTCCCCAATGTATGAGCTATATTGTGCTTCCGCCGGGTTGCAGCTCCTGCTGGCGTAGGCCACCACCTTATCCACTCCCTCCACCTCCTGGCATAATATTGCTCCCATCCCTTGGCTGCTCCAGTCTGTGTAGAGGATGAAGGGCTGGTCTGCTGCTGGCAGCCGCAGCACTGTCGCTGTCTTCACGGCTGTCATGAGGTCTTGCAGTGCCTGTCTCTGCTCCTCTCCCCACTCCCATGCCTTGTCCTCCCGCAGCATCCCATTTAGTACTGTCGCTCGTTTGCTGAAGTTCGGCACGAAGCGCCTGTAGTAGCTGAGGAAGCCCAAGACCGCACGCAGCCCTGACTTGTCTCTTGGTTCCCTCAGCCTGTCCAGCACTTGCACCTTCGCTTGCTGGATACCAATCTGCCCCCCTGTGACCTCATACCCAAGATACTGCACTGTCCGCTCCCCCCACCTGCACTTGTTGGGATGGCAGGTGAGCCCTGCCCCTTCTATGGCGGTCAATGTCCTCTCCACGTCCTCCAGGTGCTGCTGTTCGGTCAAGCTGAAGATCACGACATCATCAATATAGCACGCCGCGTGTTCTATTCCCCGCAGCACCGCGTCCATGACTCTCTGAAACACCGCCGAGGCGTTCCTCAGACCGAAGGGCATGTAAAGCCACTCGTACAGCCCATCCGGTCCGTGGAAAGCCGTTTTCTTCACATCCTCCTCTCTGATCTTGATTTGATTGAACCCCTGTCGCAGGTCCAGCGTCGTGAAGAACACCCCGTCAGCCAGCTTGTCAAAGAGCTCTTCCGCCATCGGCATTGGGTATCTATCTGGCACTGTAATTTTGTTGAGATCCCTGTAGTCCCCGCACATCCTCCTACTCAGCACCTCGCCTGTCAAGTCCTTCCTGGCTGCCACCACGGTTGGGGTAGCGTATTCTGATTCTGACCTCCTGATCAGTCCGGCTTCCAGTAGCTCCTTTATCTTCTCCCTGCAGATCACTTCATCCCCTGGTGGCATCTTCCTCCTGCGGTGGAACACCGTCTCATCACTACTCAATTTCAGCGCCATCTCTTTGATCTTGCACTTCCCCAACTCCAGCAGTGTGAAGGCGAAGCCCTTCCGATGCCTTGCCAGCAGTGCCCGCATCGCTGCCTTCCCTTCTTCGCTCATGCTCTCACCTATCTTCCACTCTGGCTCCTGTTTCTGCAGGCAGGCCCACACCCCTTGCCTCACCGTCGCCACTGTGTTTTCTCCCTCCTTCAGTCCCCAGTGCAGCACTGTCTCCTTCCACATCCGCTGCACCAACCACCTCATCATGTACCCATCCATGGCATTCCCCAATGCCCGTCTCCGTTCCTTCTCGCTCACGCCTGGGGCTGCTGTAGCGTTCTCCTTGTATCCCATGGCCAGCTCCCTCTCCAAGGCCGTGGGCTCTTCCCACTGTCCCTTCCTGTGGTCATGCACCAATCCTGGGCCTGGCTGCTTCCCATCCATCTGATAGCCTGCTGCCCCCTCATATGACACCAGGGTAGGCAGTGCCTGCCTTTCCTGTCCCACCTGGTTGCAGGGATAATGCCTGCTGTAGCCCTTCTTGGTCACTGGTGCTGGCGTTCTTCCTGGCTCCAATATGTCGCTCAGCTTCCGTCCCCCAGCTCTCTGCACCCCTTCTATTTCCTTCTGCAGGTCTTCTACTGGTACCACATTCTTCCAGTACATCCTGAGCCTGTGCGCATATGCTCCCATCCGCGCCGCATCACTGCTCACTCCTTTCCCCACCTGTCTGGTCACTCTCTCCCTTACTAGTCTTATCGGTTCTCTCACGTCTCCCTCCATATCCAAGTGCTCCAGCAGGTAAGCCACTCTGCCTTGCCTCGCCTGCACCCACTCCATGACTCTGAACAGATCCTCCATCAGTTGTGTTCGTAGGTCTTGCTCACCCTTGCCCTTCCCTGCCCATGATACCCCTTGGCATTCCCACCCTGCCACCAACAGGTCCACGTGCCCCCAGCTTGCTACCTCAGCTTCCGTAATGGCCCTTACATCGTTCACTCCTCTGCTCATTGCTGCCTTGATCACCTCTCCCTGCAGCAGCTCCGGGAACTCTCTGTGCAACTCCCACGCCTGATGCTCCGCTATTTTCCTCACTTCTGGTGCTTTCTCCACGTAAATCCACTGCTTCACTGCAATTCCATTTCGCACCACTGCTGCCAGTCCCGCCCCGATTCCTCCGAACAGCTCCATCAGCCGAATGGGTTGCTGCCAATCGGTCTGCTGGCTAGGTTCGTCCATGAAACGCATCCTGGGCTCCCCACCTTGTCCCTTGCCTGTTGCGGCCTTCTGTGCCCCCTGCTTCGCTGTCACCTCCTTCAGATCTGCCCTGTAGGCCCTTTTTGGCTCGGTCCTGACAAACTGCACCCGCAGCTGCCCCAGTGGCTCACCCTTCCTCCACCACCTGGTTCTGAACTCCACTGTCTCCTTCCAGAAGCAGATGGTCATGCCCAATGCAAAGATCATCTCTGTGCCCACCAGGACGTCAAAATCTTCTGACTCTGAGATCCCGCACCTGATTCTAACCGGCGTCTCATGCTTCTCCCCCTTCAGCACCGTCAGTTCTATTGGAGTCCTCGTACAAGGCATCCACTTCGACTCTCCCCCCTCTGCTGTCATCACTAGCATCCCCTTCACCACATGCCTGTCAGGTGCCCACAGTCCCAGCTTCTCGGCCATCCCCTTTCCGAGTATCACGCTCTGCGCTCCAGTGTCTATAATAGCCGTCTTAGCCTTCTCCCCTTCCACTGACAGCGCACCACCTTGGATCAGCAGCACGGAAGTCTGGCAAGCCAACCTCTCCTGGGGGTGCCGTGCTGCTGTGCATCTCTCCTCCTTTTCCTCCGGCTTCTGTCCTCTCTCCCGCTCCTTTCTCAGCTGCTCCTTCCGTGCATCCTTTCCTCCGCTGCGCAACCCCATCTCCTCCCTTCCTCGCCATGCCATGTATGCTGGTTGCTCCTCATGCTCCATCTCATTCTCTCCTCTTCCCGCCCAGACCATGAACGCGGCTTCCTCATCCTGCTCCACATCTTCTTCCTCCTCTTCCTTGGCGTACATCCCCGCCTCTGCTTCCCGTCGTGGTCCCATTGCCTGCAGCTGGGCCTGCAGCCTGCTGATTTGCTTCTCCAGATCTTCTGGTGACTTCTTCGCTGCTCCCTCTCGCTGATAACACTCCTTTGCTGCATGCCCTCCTTTCCCACAGACTTCACACTTCAGGAATTTACTCACGAGCAGGGCCATGTCTGCGCAAGTCACATCCTCTGCCAGGTTGACCAGCCGGTTATAGTAGGTGAGTAGTGACTCGCCCCGCCCCTTCCTGAAATCTTGGAATTCCCTGATCTTCTCTGCGGTGTGACCTGGAAACTGCCGTTTCAGCCGCCTCAGGAATGCTTCAGTAGGGTCTTCCCGTACCTTCCTGCCCTTTCCAGTAGCTCATCCATCTTCATCCTGTACAATGTCTCCGCCTCCCCTTCCAATGTGTTTGGCAGACTCAGGAAAAAGTCCACCGAGTCCATGCCGCTCCTTTCGCATCTGTACCGCACGTTGCCCACCTGCATCAGGTAGTTCTTCAGCGTGGGGCCCGTGCGCTGATCTCTTGAGAAGCGCGCTGGCACTTCCACTCTCGTGGCCATTACCGTGCTTCCCTTGCCTTCTCCCCACGCCTCGCTCGGCCCTCCTGCTGATCTCCCTGATGCTCCTCTCTCTCTCGCCCGCAGTATTCCTTCCCTCGCCTCTCTAGCCCGTTCTAGGCTGTGCATCAGCCCGCTGCCTTCCTCTCTGCTGTTGCGTTGATCCCGTCCTCCCTCACTGGTACGTCTTCCGTCATGCTGCCAGTACCGATCAGGTGAGTGATACCCTCCGCCGCGCCCCTCATCCCTGCTCTGTTGCCGAAGCTGCGAGCCGTATCCGCCTCCCCGGCTTTCTTCATGTTGCCTGTGCCAGTCGGGCGAGCGCGTCTCGCTTCCCCACCTCTCTCCATGATATCGTTGCAGATCAGGCGAGCGGTAGTCGCCTCCGCGTCTCTCATCACGAGGGTAACGAGGACCTGGAGAGCGCAGCTCCCCCCCGCTTCTCCAGTTGTGATACCTCCGCGGATCTGGTGAGCGCACACTTCCCCCGCGTCCACTGTCCTGGTGCCGCCGTAGCTCTGGCGAGCGGTAGCCGCCTCTGCGCCTTTCTTCCTGCAGCTGCTGCCGTCCTGGCGAGCGGTAGCCGCTTCCGTGCCTCCCGTCCTCGTGCGGGAGACGTGGATCTGGCGAGCGCGCGCCGCCACCACGTTCCCCGTCACGATTCTGCCGCCGATCTGGCGAGCGCGTACCGCCGCCACGCCCCCCCTCCCGATACATCCGTGGATCTGGCGAGCGCGTGCCTCCGTCGCGTCCCCCTTCACGATTCAGCCGAGGCTCTGGCGAGCGCGCACCGCCGCCGCGTCCTCCGTCCCGATTCAGGCGCGGATCAGGCGAACGCGCGCCGCCGCCACGTCCCTCGTCACGCTGCTGACGCGGATCTGGAGAGCGCGCGCCACTGCCACGCCCCCCGCCGTCACCTTTCTCTCCGTCGCGCGGCAGGTCTCGAGTACCGCCCTTTCCTTCCGCCTCCGCCGTGCTCGGCTCCGCCGCCACGCCCGCCTGCGCGGGATCGTCGTCATCAACTTCAGCGGGCATCTCGCGCTGCTCGCCTGCGCCTTCCTCCTGGGGTTCGTCATCGCCCTTGGTCTCGCCTTCACGATTCGTCTCCCGCACTCGATTCGCCGAGTCGGCCTCGTCTTCTCCATCCACATCAAGATCGCCTTGGCGACCCGAGAAGAGCTCCTCCAGACCTCGCCCGCGACTTCTCTCTTCGCGACGGCGATAGCCTTCCTCCGGCGAGCGGTATGCTCCCGTGTCCTGGCGGTACCCACGACCGCCATCCGCTCCGTGACGCCCGTCCGTCCGCCACGGGTCACTCCCCGGCGTGACGGATCCAGATCCGCCTCTTCCTTCTCGGGCGGATCCTCCCTCCTGGCGATCTGGCGCGAGAAGGACCTGATCCGCGCGAAAGGCCGGCCTCCGCGGCGATCGCTCAGGCCGCCGCGGCGACCTCTCCAGCGAGCGCCCGCGCTCACGTGAGCGTTCGCGCCGCGAGCGATCCGCCTCACGGCGACCATAATTCCTGCCGTAACGCATCTCGTACACATCCATGCTTGTACGCGCACCTTTCTGTTTGTTATGGAAGCGACAGAACTCTCACCTCAAAGGTCCTCCCTGAGTGGTGTGCCACCCGCCTGCTCTGGTAAGGTAACAACAGTCCACTATACGAAAGGATAACAAACAGAAAGCATCAGAGGTGTGTGTGAGAGTGAACTTACCTGACCCTGGCTCGAACCGTGCATTTCTCAATGTGCGGCTCGAGCCTGGGTTGGTTCGTTCTCATTGGTTGCAAGGATTTCACCCAAGGTGCTCTCCTACCAACTTCGCGTCAATTTCCCAGCTCCCACCTACCTATCCTCGAATTTGCAAACACAACATAGCTACACCTCCACTACACCACCATGATACTGGCACCTTATATGCACAACCGTGCATATTCGGTGACATCCTCTTCGTCATCCTCTTCTTGCCACACTCCTCCATCGCCGCTCACCTCTCCTCCATCGGTCCTCCTCTCATGCCTGAATCTGCCTTTCCACAGGCTTTCCCTTCAAGAACATCTCTGCTCACTCTGCCTTTCCTTTCACCTTTTCTGAGAATCTGGTTACATCCCTGCAGGCCCTCTCTCGTGCCTCAACCTGCGCTTCCGCCGGTCTGAGATCCCGCCCCAGTTTGACCCCGTGCAGCAAGCAG